TTTCTCACGGAAAATATTTATCAAGAAGTGCTAACATTAAACAAGATTCAAATCAGATTTATCGTGTTTCTCAGAATAACCGTCCAACTCGAATATCTTCGTCGAAATAATTTTTATAGCGACTTTTTACGGGATGGTGTTTTTGACCTTCATATTGTTATTATTGCAAACCCAATTTTTTTGCAATACAAATTATGTTTATAAACTAACATTTTGGTTTTATTATCTCAACGTGTATGTGCGTGTATGCAATAATTACATTAATTATTAAAAAACAAAAAAAAAAAACAATAACAACAACAAATGATGATAAATTACTTTATTGATCATTATAATATAAAATAATGTCCACTTGATAGACACACTCGTTAATTTAATAAGGGAATATGCAAATTTAGATTACGAAAAAAAAAATATAGACGTTAATAAAATATGTGTTTAAAAAGTTGTAACATACGATAATTTATATAGTACACTCCAGTTTAACGGATATGATCAAAACGAATTTTTATAACTGATTATTGGGCACCACTTTATTATTCATTTTTGAACTATGTTTTATGCAATATAACGAAATCCAGAATTTACGAGATCCAGGGTATTATATTATAAATATTCGAATGTATTTTGTTTTTTTTATAGTTATTACGGAAATCAAACGGATGAAATAAAAATACGTCAAATAATCAATTTTTTTAAATAATACTACAACTGGTTTTTCAAGTATTAGATCTGTTCTATTTATGATTTTTGTATACTCATAGTCTACTGTTAATCCGTTTATAAATGGTTTGGTTATATTTCGTTAGCAATTATTAACCGTTGGGTAAGGTATAAATTCAATTCCTCTATATATTCTTCCTTCTCAACTTGCCAACTGTAACAGTAGCCCACACATCGTGTGAAGTATATCAGTATTTTTTTATTTCTTGTTTTCAATCTTTCAATTTATTTAAATACGGCTCTTCATGGTTCTTTATTAAAACACAAATTGTGAAATTCCAAAAAACTTTTCATTCTCACGTATTGTTCATTTTTGGTTTATTATATTCTATCTTCCAATTTTACTCTCTCCGAAACTTTCAATAGACAACTTCAACAGACTATTATTTGTCAAGTAATTTTCTACTCGTCTCAACATTTCATCATTCGCTACTCTGTCGTGCGATGAAATCTTGAGCATATCATACGATAACACGACATTTAAAACGCTTCTGGCTTTCTCTTCTTCGGTTGTGCACACTGTTCAGGTTTCATACCCGTAGGACTCCGTACGCCATACGTGTATCTTCAATATATTTTTCCCTAGTATCGGATTCAATACTATTCATGATTAATAAATGGTTTAAGTGAGCTTACAAGAATACATTTTGTACTTTTATACGATAAACCGTTTTGTCTATGGACTGCTGTTATTGCCATATTAATTTTTAATTTTTTAATTTTTTATTTTAGCCATTGAACACGGCTCAGATTTCAAACGATAAGTAAGACAAATAGGTTCAAAACGTTCTATTAATTGTCCAGTTAAACGTAACATTTTTGTTCTCGCGGTATACGTAACATATATTTGAGTAAAAACAAAACACCCGGTCATTGTGCACGGGCAATCAATCATTGTTCGTTTCACCGGGCACCCGTAAACCCAACGGTTTTATACGATATTTCATGTCGGCGACAATTAATTACATCCCCTCTCTACTCTCACTACTCACTCATTCTCTCTCTTTTTCGCTCTATCTTTCTCTCTTTTTCTCTCTCTCTCCGTCGCACTCTCTGAGTGGGACCTGAAACGATGTCACCACCCGCACTCGTTTGCGTCCGAGTGTAATTTTCTAAAATATAGTGTTTCACGAATAATTGTTACGAAGCATTTATCCGGAATAATAATATTAAATAACGCATCGCCTATTACGTTTGACTATAATTCCATCCGGTCGAAATAATATATTCAATATTATTATTGTCCGCTTTAACGGCATCCAAATTAATCGAGGGTAAAAGTATAAGATAGCGCATCATAATATAATAATAATTTTAGTATTTAAAAAAAAATCCGATTATACAAATTTGTGTATTTTTTGGTAAACATAATGCTAACAAACCATTTTAGTAAAACCAATCCATTTTTCGTTTCCTGCAAAATCTAAAACCTACTACCTTAAATATTTGAAAAAAAAAAGCTGGCCTAGGATAATGGGAATGGGTATAGTCACTGTTGGTGAAATTGAAAAAGTAGGATATAGAGGGAAAATTAATTTGTACCCGTAAGCAACGATAAACCATTGTGGAGTTCAGTTGATAGTGATGTTATGTCAATAATATATTATATGCCATATTATATATTATGATAAAATAATTAAATATATTTTTGTATAACTAAAACATTCTTCACTTTACTCAGAATCTAAAAAAAAAATAAGTTTATTTTTCTTTTTTTTTTATATAAATTTTATTTTATTTATACCAAAATATTTTGACAAACGTTTTAAAAACAAAAGGAATTTCAAAAATATTATACTGAAAAAGTACTCGTATTTAATTTTACTGGGACACGCCTGTATATAATTATGTTTTTGTCTCACTAATTAGATTGACTCCTTTAAATTGATTTTGTTTTAACGAAATGAATAATATTACGAAACATGTCTCAAAAGTAATGCATCCAAGCTCATAACGCTATTGTAAATACATATAGGAACGGAATGAGCTACGATACACAACAGTGTTATCAACTTTGGAAAATACGTTTTCCTCCAGTGCTAGTCGCTTGGAGACCTTACTTTTGAGATATATGTCGTATAGAAGAAATTCACAATTTTATTTTCGATTAACAATTGGCTGGTCGTAACACAAATTATTGCATTACGTTATATCATCCATAGATCTGTATTAAATTTAATAATATTATATTATATAATCCATGTATCCATATTATAATTAATATTCTGTTTTGAAACGAAGAAAATGTTTTAAAAACATCTTTGATATCGAACCTATAGGTATATGATGATTTCAAATACAATATTATTTTAACACGTAATTATAATATATATTATATAAATGCTACTCGTGTTATTGACAAGAAATCTGACATTCAGAAACGATAAATTAAACGTATTATAAAAGCAAAACGCAGAAAACAGTACGTAATAAATTATAAAATAATATGTCAGAGACTCGAAACGTTACTATTTATACACATTTAAACGGAAATAACGAGTCGAAACAAAGTTTAACACAAATAATGGACTCGGCGAAAAACCCGTTTGAAATCTCTTGACAATGAGAGAAAATGCCAGATGTTTAAGTATATTTCGTGTGTATATACTAAACGCATTTTGTTTCCCTCTAAAATCACCCAAAGCGCAAAAACAAGAGCAGCTTATTTCGCGTATCGCGAGAATCGTCTTCTCTGTAAATTAAATAATAATAATATAAATTTAATAACAAATAATATATTTACATGCTTACAGTTTACGTGAGACGGATTTTCTTCGTTATTTTTTCATTAAAATACATTATTGTTGTTCATCTTTTGGCCGTTTTATTATTTAAAATTAAATTTGTATTGTATTTTGAATATTTAATAAAAAGAAATTAATTAAAATCATGAACAATTTCGCAATTATATTATAAATATAAGTGGTTATTATTATAACTCGATTCTTTAGTTCGGACATCATGAAATTCATAATTACTGAAATTCGCGAACAATTGTTTTCGATAAACAAAAGGAATCGTAAAGTTTTAATGAACTATGGTTCGGGATTTTTTAATATGAAAACTTACCTGCACGGCTGTACATATTATTATGTATTCTTAAGAACAACTAAACGCGTACATGATTGTTGAAAATAATGTGAATCGTTTAAATATTTAGCAAAAACTCTATAAACAAACTAATCGATATATTTGTAAAGAAATATTGTAATAAAATTATAATAATTAATATTAAAATAAAATAATATTTGTACATAAAATAATCCCATCGCATTACTATACATTATTACTTGTATCTGTAATTTTCTTAAGAGTTTTTATCTTCCATCAATATATCCCTCTACAAATCTCGGTCATTTTTACATTCCTACTTTCTTAGAGTTTTAAAATCGTATTATTCTGTATCTAACAACAACTTCTCCCACAGTCTTTTTACTCACGGATTCCACTCCAAATCTGCCTATATGAGGAAATAAGTAAATTTTGTTCGTATTATTCCACTAATGGTTCTTTAGGTATGAAATTATCGAAACATTGAATTAAATATATTATATAAATAATTATGTATGCGAGATCTACAGTGCGTTGTAAATATCAAGTAAGAGTAGTCGATTAAAAAGTAAAATATCGGTGATTTATTTGATAATATACAAAATAATGTTCCGCTTTGCTACTTTGGTATTAATTGTTATTTAACACCATGTTACTTTAATTGCTACACAGTAAACAGCAAGCTAAAAGTTAAATTAAAACGTAAAATCAGTAAAAAATTATTAATTCCGTATTTGAGTACAGATTTTTGGTACATAAATGTACTCGTATGAATGTTATGTATTATGCATACGGTGTTTGTTTTCTTACTTTTTGTCCCGTCAGTAAAAAAAAGTATCAATACGTCGTACGGTAGAAAATAGAAATACACTAAACACATTGATCAACCCTTTTGAGAGCTTCCCGGATAGAATTTTGGCACAAAAAGTTTTTGACTCAAGGGATCGGCTACCTGTTAAGACACTATGTTATATGAAAAAGCCTTTCGACCGATACCGACTCGGTATAATGGTTACGACGTATTATATCCTTTTATGTTATATTATTGAATTACTTGAGTCACCACTGCAGCGTTTGTCGTTAGATCCGTAAACAAGTTTGACAAGCGTTGTTTTTTTTTTACTGTGTCTTCTGGGATCGAAACTTTTCTTTGGTCAGAAAATTATCAACACGAGAAGAAGAAAACAAAATCGCTAAAATACGTTCAAATACTATGGCTGGCATTGTTTTCTGTCAGTTTATAACATAATGGCAATCTTGTAATTTGATTTATTATATCCTTTTTACGTATCTACCTACCTTATAAACTGTTTACACTGCAGCTACGAGCACGCATTGATTTAATTATAATCGCGTTTCTTATATTGCTCGTTGCAGGAAATTGATCTTTAAACGGCAGCGGCGTTTATGTGCCCTTTTTTTCAATTTTGCTCGTTCCCCGACACGAATTAAGGTGTAAACCGTTTATATATATATATAAAATATAAGCGTAGCAAGCGTTAAGCTATAATAATAATATGGTGCAGACGATTCGGTCGGAAGAGGAAGTGGTAATTTATCACGCCGGCGGTTTCGTATAGGCGAGGGTAAATCGATGATAAAAAAAAATTAAAAAAAAAAAGCCAACACTAAATATTAAGAAGAGTGAAAAAAAATCTCGTTGGGGAAAAAAACAGGTCTATATATAGCTGAGGGGAAGAAAATACAAAATAAATAATAGCTTTTCTGAAGTATATAGATGCGCATGTATGCGTGCGTTTTAGAGTATGGATAACAGCAGTAATATTGTTCTGGACGTCTGTGATTTATCGAGAAACATACCTACTAATTTTACGCGGTGTTAGTATTTTTTTTTTTTAAATCTATACATACTTAAAGTATTATCAAAACTTGTTACTGTAGATGACCTGCAAAAAGGACAATCCGACACGAAAATTGCATTATTCTTATAGTGACCACCCGATAAAAGATCAAAATATAACGGGCGGCAATTTGAAATTTCTCCGGGCAATATCAAATTTGAGGTTATGTAATTAACGGATGATAGTGATTTTCGCACAGTGGTTCATTTTGTGGTATAAACTCATTTTGACCTGCTTTTCGTTTACAGGTGTCCGTTTTAGACGATTTTGTCACCCGGAACACGTTTAAATCTCGTCAACCATATACTAAAACCGCACGAATATTACAATAATTTCCTTTGCGGTCAGGCCAACGGTACTTTGGTCACGAGACAGGGAATATGACTGGGATTGTGCAGTGATGATTTGCAAACAAAGTCGATTACTCGTCAGACCTGGGTGTGTTTGACACGAATTTCCATAGGGAAGAGAAAATATCGTCGTACCTGAGCGACTTTCCGTGATAATAATTGGGCGTAGAACAATGGCCGAAAAATCGAAAAAAAACTTTCGAAGTTGATATTTTATTATTGATAAAAGTACGAAAGTTCGGTGGCTTAATGAACTCGAGGCCGTCGTCTAAAGTGGTGGTATGCGGGATATAACGTGAAAAGTTTTTCATCGCAAGATTAATACGTCTAGTTTTACACGACTATAAAAAAAAAAATCCTTTTAATTATTATAGGTAGGTACTTCTTAAGATTTTCAAAATAACGAGCAATAAATAAATTATTTAGTTTGGTGATAGCAGTAACATAAAACGACGAGTGCTTTTATACGATCGTGTTTTTTGTATTATTTTATATCTTGTACACAAAATATTAATAGATATTTTTCAGCTAATAATAAAGATTAATATTTTGTTTATATACTGAAATCAACGATGAATCGTTACAATCGAAAAATGATTCTAAGTAAAGTTCGGTAAACAGTATTATAATATCTAGATATTAGTCGTATTTTTTTCCTAGTAGGTGAGGTAACCATAAAATCAATGAAAACTACTAAAAACGATCATGTATGTGTTTCTGTTTTGACGTTTATCGATTTTTTAGAAATATACTGGTGATGAAAAATCCACGCCTTTAAAGGTAAGTACGTAAGATTTTTTTCTAACTGAAAACTAATAGTTTCTTTGTTACACTGTGAAACTAAAAAAAAAAAAAAAAAAAAATGTTTACAATAGACTAGTCAAATTTTTTTATCTTTGATAAAAGAATAATTCATTTGAAATTGCATTACTTTATATAAATACGTACATTAAATCGAAACGTAATTTGGTTAATTAACTATTTACAACAATACTTTTTTTTTTTAAAGAGTATCTTTTTAATCTCACGATAGAAACGTAAAATATTTATATTTTTACATTTATATGGTTACTATGTTATATGTCATTCTTCGATACTACGATGAATTTAGATTTCTTCTAATAGCTTAAAGTACGCCGAAAACAACGTTTTTTTTTTTTTTTTTTTTTTTTTTTTTTTTGTGTTATTTTAACTTTCTGGAAACCGCAATTATTCGCGTACAGGTAGATGATTCTTCTAAATACATTATAATAATAATAAATCACTACGTTAGTTTCTTGTCTCGAATTTTTGATTACTAATAATATAATAAATTATAATAATTATAATATACAAAAATAAAATAAAATCTTTCCATAAAACATTCTCACTGTTTTTATCCGTAAAAAAGTTCAGCCCTAACTAAACGTCAGCCTTAATGATTACATACAATATCCTGGACAATTTATTTGAACTTCTCTCCCCGAAAAAATAAAAATCAATCGTAAAAATTAAAACGAATCAATTACAATGAGTACGTAAAAGTCGACTACGTTTTCGTAAATCATCATTAGTCGGCACATTATAGCATTAATCCCATGAATCTGCTAAGTTTCGTTTGAAAAATATTTTACAGATAGAATATAGGGTTCGATAGTTAAACGGTAAAAAAATGTATAAAATGTATCTTTACAATTCGTATTGCGTCACGATATTCATTTATAATTTGTTCGCATAGTGAACATAAGTTAATAGTTTGGGGTACAGTGAAAATGAGATAATATTATATTAAATATAAAGAAGGTATAAACCCCTTGCAGATTAAATTCTACTATATATTGAATGCGCATTATCTTAATTTCGCTAGACTTATGAACTTATTACGTCCTGACGAAAGATGATAAATAATTACGTGCACCCGTGCTAAAATAATATTTCGATTAAAATTTAACGATAAATTAAGGTATACCAAGGTAAATTAATTAATACAGTATTATTAATTTAATTAATTATTTTTACGGGGAATCAAAAATAACAAAGTTAGAATAGCTACTACAATGTTCCGTAATTCATTATGTCAGTTTAGGACGTTTTGGCGTGGCCGTTTCGCCATGAAATTAAATTTTTAAATTGTACACGTTACCTTACGACTACACATGTTAACCTAGTAAATAAATAGAAATAGAAAAAAAAACTAATTTAAAAAATTATAAAATATGATCATTTGAAAGTGTTTATCTTTTTGTAAAATGTTTGTGATTACTAACGACACACTATCGTTACCGCTGTCGTTATATTGCATTTTCATAAGACGTAAAAACTTGTTGAACGGAGCCCATCGTAATACTTTCAACCTCGGCATTATTATTATTATTGGTGATTCGAATTTCTTTGGGTTTTTTTTTTCTTTTGTCTGGTTCAATGAGATAAAAATCCATACAAAATCACAATATTTATGTAGGTACGAATAAATTATATAGACAAAATATGTATATGGGCTTAGAAATTAACATTACATTAGTTGAGATAGAAATTTAAATTCGCATTATTCAGAATATTATTGTATAGTATTGTCGTATTAATGTGTATATTATTATGTACGTTACGATATGTAAATTATAAATTAACGGTAACGTTTGCTATTTAATGTCAACAAAGGTTTTACCCCCTCAAACTTACCCATTTGAATATTGTGATTAACAGAATGAAAAATGTCATCGTTCAACGATCTATAGTTTCGCGTAGTAATTTCAATGGAGATGACTCGTCTAGTTGTTTTAGATAATTTTGAGCACATCGAGAAATGCAATGGAACAACTACTTAGTGTGTATGTGTGTTTTTTCCCTGTTTTTTAACGACGTTTCGATCAGAATCTAGAATTGCTCCGATTTGCAAGTTTAGCATCTTTTCTACAAAAATTGCACCCAATTGGTGTATTAGAGAGGTCATTTTTCGATTTCCTTAGCAATTTGCTTAATAATAAGGAAATACTGACAAAATTACTGCAATATTTACGGTTTCGTTATTTTTGAATTTTTGAATTATGTTTTCCTACCAAGGATATTGCCATACATAACAGAGATACACCCGTCAACACTATCAGCTATTTTATTTTTTTACAAATACGTTATTAATATTTTAATTATTATGAAATTCAAAATTCCGCTTTAAACAGATTAAAATCATTTTATACGTCGTACGGTCAAAATTAAATGTAAACCATTTTTTATGTATTTATGTAAATGATTTATCTAGCGATATACAATTATTTTCGATGTATAAGAACAAAATATTAGTGTTTTATAAAAATTAAACATAAATCTTTTAATAATTAATCAGTGAATTACCATATATTTTCCGTTCTAATGAATTTTAGCGATTTGAAAATTGTTTGATTAATATCAAATACTATTAAATTAAAGGCCAGTTTCTAATATTGAGTGGATATCTATATTTTACTGGCACATTATAATCAACAAGTCAAATTAATTAAATTAATTGCACCACGGTCATTATTACAAGTTACAAAAGTTACAATTAATTTATATTTAACGTGTATTATTTTGTATTTTTTTCAGAAGTGTAGCTGGCTTTGAATATTTAGATCTAAATGCGCGTTATTCTTTAACTGGATTTCATATTTCCCGCGAATACAATATATTTTCGACTCAAGAGTCAAAATTAGCAATTTTCCCGAGGCTTTATTCTTTCGTTCCTTTTTGAATATTGTCCACTTAACCGTTTGTCGGCCCGCTCAAAAAGTAATGAACTGTTATGCCAACACAATGGCCGGTTCCGTGCAGTAGGCTATAAAAAGAAACTATCTACCCTTGTTTCAAAAACATAAAAAAATAATAAAGTGAAACTGTACTGTAGCGAAATGGAGAGGAAAAATTTCTTTTCCGTGTATTGTCCGTCTGTGATCCACAATTTAGATTGCATAAAATGTACCAACTTGCAAAATACAATAGTTACACGAGTAGGTATGTATATATATATATCTACGGGAGTTAACTTAAGAAACTTAACAAGGACGTCCTCTGTGACATATTTTTTAGATAATGTGTATTATACGTGTTACTGAATTACAGTATTTCAGAAATGCCAGATAATTGAAATATTATGAAAATGGTATTTTACTCGTTAATCGATATAATGACTAGCAAATTATATCTATATAATTTTAATTAATTGAATAAAGATTACTGTATTTTAAGAAGGTATCTATATTAATTTGAAAACAAAAACTCATTTATTTTATTGATAATAAT